TGTCACGATAGAAATAAAGAATTTGATCATCCTGTTTTCTTATGCATTTTACATTGTGTTTTTATGCAAGAATATTTGCTTCACACTTTAAACTTGAATCGCAATCCATCAACGTTATTCAAGGAAACATGAGTTAAACATATAATTACATATTATCCTCATAGATGTTTCTGTCATCAAATTATTATTATGAATATACTTATACTTATCGTCCTCTGCCATTAGTTTATTTCTATTGCCACGATGAGAATCAACATTCTTTTTGTTTTCTTTCATGTTGATTTGATTGTTCGTTTTTTATGTGTCTTACATTGTGTTTTTTGCTTTAAATTTACATCATCTCAATTTGTCAGTGTTTTTGTGCATGGAAATCTGCAAGTAAAATATTAGTTGAATATATAATTACATATTATTCCCATGAATATTCTTATTGAATAATTATTGTGAATATTTTTACACTTATCATTATCTGTTTCAATAAACAATCTTACAATGTTGTGTCATATGCGGAATTGTATCCTGCGGTTTTTTTTAATTGTATTTATATTTCTGTTGTTGTTCTAGCTGTACACTTTGTATTTTTTTTTTATAATATATTTATAATATATAAACAGCGCGTTTGTAATATTTTTCACTTTTCTCACTTCGTCTTACATTCGATAAAGACAGTATATTTATGAGTAATCTGTTTCTTTCTAACAATGCGTGATAGAGGATTTCTAACTTTTCCATATGTTTAAAGTTTCCGCAAGTAATTCGGTATTGTAATATATTACGGATTTTTATTATAGATTTTTATTTTTTTTTCACTCATTGACATGCGTCGTGATATATGGTTCAAACAAATCATGAATTAGAAGTTTAAGAATATACAGATAGCTGAAGAATATAATATGAAAGCTCATATAAATATATTGAAAGCTGATTTTACAGAAAGCTGTAATATAATTAATTGACAGAAAGCTATAGAATACAATTTTGCTCATGGTATGCGGTCGTAAGATTGTTTATTGAACTAGATAATGATAAGTGTAAACATATTCGTAAGAATTATTTGATGATAAAAATATTCGTGGGTATAATGTGTAAATAACTATATATTTAATCAATATTTTTTTTACTTACAAATTTCCGTGTACGAAAACACCAATAAATTATGATGATGTAAGTTTAAAGCAAGAAGCACAATATAAGACGCATAAAAAAACAAAATCTAATCCAACATTATCATCGTGACAATAGAAATAAACTAATGGCAAAGAACGATAAGTATAAGTATAATTAAAATATTGTTCTAAGACAATATTGAGGACGTCTCAATATCCTCAAAATGTCTCTGGAATGTTCTCAGAAGTTCTTTGCTATCTGAGTTTATTTAAAGATTAAAATGGGACACACTGTATAATGTCTCAGATTATA